CCCCAAAACCCCAAAAACCCCAAAACCCCAAAACCCCAAAACCCCAAAACCCCTAGTAGTAAATCACCGAGAATATATAATAACAAGGGTTTGGATAAATATGAGAATAGATGAAAAGTTATTTCGACTGGTCGATTTTTGTTACTGGATAAGAGCTGAGGTGCTGGGAGAGGTGGGTGGTGAGGAGATGTGGTCGCGTTTTATGTGAGCCTAGAGAGGGGTGAGTTGGAGAACTTACGTTTAAGTTGTATTTTCAAGAGTACTTTCTGGAACAATGGGGGCAGTTGTGTTTCTTTCTCTTTTCTGGAGGGGTGTCGTCGTGGATAGTTTTGTGTCTGAGGTAGTTAGCTTTTTGGATAAAGGTTTTATCACAGTGCTCTCATTCATAAGCTGCAGTTTTCTCATGGACTCTGAAATGATATACTAGATTCCATGTTTTCTTAAAAACCTTATCTCAGTTAGGATATTTGCAGATGTAGAGCTTCCTGTTCTTCTCGGCAAGGTTTGGGTTGTCTATAATTTCATAGGGACGACCCTCCAGCACAGAGTAATTAATGCTTCTTGTTTTCTTGGTCTTCTTTGTTAACTCATTTGAAGTAGAATTCACTTCACTTTGCTGGTTATGAGTGGAATCTTCAAAGTTCTCAACAACTTTATCTCTCTTCAAAGATACTAGAGGAGCCAAATCATGGCTTCAAAAACAGTAATCGCGAGCTAAGATTTTGAGGATTAATTCTTCGGGGGTTGAGATCTAAAGTATAATTATGAGTATTTTCCTGAAAGATTTTGCCTTAGAATATTAAAAGCATTCTTATCTTAATGATTCAAAAGTTGTGAATGAAGAGAAGATTGACCATGGAAAAATATTAGGATTACAAATAATCTCCATCTCTATCAAATCACCGGGAGATAATTTTAATTTCTCTCCAACAGAGACGAATATTAAGGCTCTTACCTGCTCCATTTTTCTAGAAACTTCCATTAGATATTCTAATAATAATTATTATTATTGCTTCAAGACTTCTCCTTTTATTTGGGGTTTTGGGGTTTTGGGGTTTTGGGGTTTTGGGGTTTTGGGGTTTTGGGG